TCGAGGTAAAAAAAAAAAAAAAAATCATTTGGTCATCTAAATATTTCATGTGACTTCTCTGAATCTTAAGACTGTGTTGCCATGCTATAGTCTATCTTAACATGCCGTCTGACAACATCATCTCTGAAGCCTAGCCCAGAAGACAAGCAGTCAGGACTAGATTTTAGGCAAAATGCTTTACTATAGGCATAACTGTTATTAAAATATTGACATGCTACTTTTCTAGTTGATAATTATTGTCCAGAGCCCTCTGAGTGCCTCCCTGACACCCCAACCTCTCTCCAAAGATTACTTCCTGGAAACTCCCAACAGTCCAACAACTAAATGGTTCATTCCCAGCTGGCAGAGAGCCTCAGGAATGGAGGCTTCTTCTACCACTGTTAACATTTAAATATGTTGAGTATGTTGAATATCTCGCAGACTCGACATTTCTGGCTTTTGCTTAACAACCAGCCTTTAATGAACCTTTCCTCCATTAATTTATCTAAATCATTCTTGAAGCTATTTATATTTTCAACTTATATCAGCCGTAGGATAACAAATTCCAATTCTTTTTGCCTTCTGTGCGAGCTTGGCCTTTCTTTGTCCTAAATGTGCTTCTCAGTCTTTAAGGGCCAACATTCAGTTCTATTGCCTGGGATTTGTGAATAAACCTGTGTTCTTCCAATGAGCTCCATGATTTTATAGGCTTGGGTCATACTCCCATCTTACTCCATAAGCTGAAGGATTAACTTTTAAGTCTGTCATCATATATCATCCACTCTATTTCCTGAATTATTTAATCACTCTTCTCTATTCGTTCTCCAAGATGGTGTGTGTGTGCAATTTTATTTTAGTTGCTTTTATGAAGTATTCATTTTAGTGGGTTTTAAGAAGCCAATGTGGTCTTTTTTTAACTATTACACAATTAGAACACAATTGTTGCACATGAAAAAAAGAGAATGCAAAATATTTTTAAATAAAGTCACCCCTAATCCTACCACATAGAGAAAACAACTGTTAACATTTTAGTGTATATCTATCTAGGCTTTTTTCTTTGCCTATCATATATTTTGTTCTCTACTAATGGAATCATATTATAGAATGCTGTTCTAAAATCTGCTTTTCACACTTAATTTATTATGAACATCTTTCCATGCCAAAAAGACATAGTGAGGTCAATGTGTTTAATTTGTTAGATGATCACTTATTATTTCAAATATTAAGAGGTTACTCTTTAGCCATTTGACATTTGCCATATGGGGATTAAATTCCAATCACAATCAAAGTTTAAAGCTTTCGCTTTCTTCAAGGCCATATTCGAGTTCTATCTGTGTCTTTCATAAAAGCCCCTCTGGCTAATCACAGCCAATTAAATGCAAATTTCTTTAGCAGTATCTACACTACCCAATTAACACTTGATTATATTTTCCCTTCTTTTACTTTGCAGTTCTTTCATGAATGGGAGGGTTTTTATTACTGAAGTAAGCTGCTGGAGATGACAAACTACATCTAATACTTCTTTTGAATCTTCCCCCCCTCCCCAGCAATATCTTGCTCAGTGTGGGATGCACTACACGTGTGTTTTGTGTAATTGAGCAGTTAGGTAACTTTTACCTACACTAAGTATTCCTAAGAAGAATTTCACTGGTGCTTAAAGAGGATAAACTTTGTTCCCTAAGGGAACATAGGTCCCCCAAGTATCACGTTCAAGTGTTTTGAAACGTTGTGGGGGGGGGGGTTTTCTTCACTGGTGCCAGCTCTCCTGCCTTACACAGAGTAGGTCCACAATAAATATTTGAAGATTGAATGCAGAACTCAGGGGCAACATATAATCAGCTCATCTTTCAGGGAAATACATCAGGCTGGGTCCTACCTTCACACAGGCTTAAAACTCTTGTGAGTATTTTAAGATTTTCCGCAGAAGAAACAGGGAGGAATCTAGCTTGTATTATACCTGAAATAAACATCCTCCTGAGTTGCCACTAGTATGAAAACCACTCATCTCACCTACCACATTCAACCTGCCACATGGACGATGAATATATCAGCTTTTCCAAATAAAGCAAATAATTGCTTCACTACAGCTTTTTTTCCCCCCTTGGAAAGTAGCAGTAATAGAATTCTGATGAAGAAGATTTACATGAACTCCTGAAGCATCGGTAATGAGAGTGCCAAAATTTATGTATCTATCAAAGTTAACATTAAACTAAGGTTTTCTTGTCATAGCTAGTAGTGCATTTTCCTTTGGCTTGATTTACTCATGTTTCTACCCAAGAGTGGCCTTTACAACAATCTGGTACCCTTGATTTCCTCCCAAAGCAGTCAGGGACCCTACGAACATCTGGCCCAGGCTTCAAACAGCTAAATGTCTAATCCATCTAAGACAGCTTTCACATAATGTACTGAGCTGATGTTTGCAACATCTGCTCTGATCCAGTGCGTGAACGAAGATGTTTAAAGGAAGGGAATGTGTGACTCACACGAAGTGTCCACCATAACGCCTTCAACTCTGTTAACGGTGCTTGAAAACCCTGTTAGTGATCTTCAAAGTCACTCAGAAAGCAGGACCTATGTCAAGATATCAGTCGCTCTTGAAAACGCTGGTCAGAACACGTAGGTGCTTAGCCAAGGCACCTATCTCCGTGCCGAATGTAGACAGCACTCACCCTTGACACTGAATCAGAAGTGAGATTCTCATTACGTAGGATGCTGCAGGGCAATTTCATAGAATCTCATAGAAGGAAAAACCATGCCAGAAGTCATTAAAACACAGTGTGCAAACTGAGAGGAGATTCTTGCTAATTGCTAATTATGTCTTTGAGGTTCTCCTGCAGGTTCTTTATCGCTCAAGAAAGCCCAATGTGTTTGTTTTTGTTTAACAACTACAATGCACATCA